TGATTACCAGGGGCGCCAACATTTGTGGAGGGCACTGCACATGAGTGTGTATTTAAAAGGTAAAGAAGGAAATGCATCATCAGTGAGTGGGACAAAGTCAGGATACAGGAAATGACATGACACAAGGGTAGCTCACTCTCCTGCATTGACTATACAAATTACAGAAAGAGAGGAAGAGGCCATGATGGGTTCTCTTCATAGATTGGCTTTGTGTAAATGAATTATGCAATATTATTTTAGATTTTATCATTTTATAAAATGATTTGTTAATCCACTTTGAATTTTATTTAACAGATACATCTGTACAACAAGAATGACAACATTTCTGCTTTCAAAATTCAGTTGGTGTCTTCAGTTAGAAAATGATGTTAAAAGGAAAGGTGATGTAACACAATGGTAAACATGCCCCTGTACCAACATTTTTAGGACATGCTGCAGGCATTAAGTTTGGAATTTGTGTAAAATTACAAAAAAAAAATAAATACCAGGAAAAACATCAAAAATTGATTATACATATTCAGAATTTGTTTATCACTGCCATCTTTTTATTTACATTTCACACACCGTTTTTTTGCCATTGAGGAGTTCTGAACTGAACTGATTGTAGGCTTTTCAGCACTTGTCTGAAAACCTTCAACACAATATCTCATTCAAGCATTTGTTAGAATCTGTTCAAGTGCAAGAAAAAGATGTTCATTGACATTTCTGGCACATATGCAAGCAAAGAAACTAGGTTAGCTTTCTGTAGCTCAAATGGAACGGCTTCACTATTTGGTACAGGAAGGTTAATCGCTGGTTTTATGAAAACAAAAGAGAAAGGCTGATACTGCACTTCTCTGAAACAGAGAGCTGGGTATTGGAGCAGCAGGCAGCTCTCCCAGGCACTGTCCATCTCTTTGCTTGGCAGCATAGGGAAACTAAAAGGTTTGGCCTTCACCAGCTGCTTGCTGACCTGCACATCTTGCAGGGCACCTCTGAAGCTCTGTTTTGGCCACAGATGACACGCTAAACTCAGATCGAGGACAACCGCTGCAGAATTCACCATGCACTGGGCAAAGACTCCAGGTTATGTTTGGCAGCATCACAGCACACAGCTCATTAATCTCTCAAAGAGAGGAACCCAGCAATGCCGGCTACACCCCCTAATAAAACACATTCTGCTTGCCAGCAAAATTCATACTTTTCAACAGAAGAGCCTGCTTTTGTTGAAGGGCACCTTTCTGAACGATGTCAATATGTTCTGTTTTCTTCCCTCCCCTTTCTATTTGCTGATTATTCTTTTGATTTTATCCTGGTGGTCACATTGTAAACTGAAGGTTTCTAAGAAGCTGTCCCACCTAGTAAATTACCCATCATTTCCCTTTCCCGCTAAAGATAACAGCTTATCACTGCAGAGACAGTTCAGTAAATTGCTGGAAATGACTACACTGGAAGGAACATCATAACAAAACTTGAGGGATCTGCAAAGCTCTGGGTTTTGTTGAAAACAGTGGACAGATACCAGCCCCCAAACTGCTTTCTTCAGACAGTTTGAAATACTTGACATTTCTGACAAGTGATTTTTCTATATTTTGCTAAGCGTAATAGATTTAGTACCTTGTTAGCTTCCTTTATTACAATAAAATTAATTACAATAAAATTTAATGTAATGGCTGGTTGGCATATGAAAGAATAGATTTTACTACATGTCTACTAATGTTTCAGGGAAAAACCCTAATTTACACAATTTTACACTCATTCTAAATGTTGTTGATCAGCCAAGACATACTTGGTGTCCAAATTTTGGTGCCTTCGTTTAGTGCTGGACCCGAAAGGCTAATGTTGCTAACACAAAATCAATAGTTAGCATAATTTTTTCCATAAATACGTCCCAAAACTTCCCTGAAACCCCTCAAACTGCACCCAGGTCTTCAAGGTCAAACAGACTTGTCAGTTTGTTTTACTACACAGTAGGGGTGGGAATCTCTAGGCACCTCACGATTCGATTCGATTACAATTCAGAGGGCTGCGATGCGATTATAATCTCGATGCATCTTTTTTTTCTATACATGATTTCTATTCTCTTACTGTCTGAAGACTTTGTAGTTTTAAAACAAAGTATTTGTAATGATCCATAATGCATTTACGTCCAATATCTTTTATTAATAAAACAAATGGAAATGATGTGGTAAGTGAACTGGAAGGCTCTCATTCACTGCTCTTGTTTGGAGGCGCTGCTGCCACTCATCTGTGATAAGACTGCAGGTCACCTAGCAATGAGGTTTCGCCAAGCTAGTAGCGTAAGAAAAAGGAAAAGAGAAAGACAGACGAACATTTGGAGACGAACGGACTTATTTGCATTTATAAGCAGCACAGTTGGTTTTCTGGTACGTTAAATCTGCAACGAGAGACTGTCACACACTAACTAAAAAGTTGCAAAGATGAAGTCGCTTCTCTAATTTGCCCGTTCCACCTTAAATGGTCCCACTTTTACATTCGGCGAGAAGCGACTTCAGTCTCGTAAAACAGCGGAACGCTGAGAGACATTTTACAAGAAACTATTCAACTTTTGAGGAAAAGTTTTCTGGCAGATTTGGAAGAAAAGTGGCTGTAGCTGAGCTAAAGCTTAAAGCAGAGCAAAGTAAGTCTCGTTTTCGTTTAGATTTTTTAGCCTAAACTAGCACATTATCACATACTGGACATTAAATGTTGTGGCTCCCAAGCTGGTTTAATTTTTGTTGAAAGGACAAAATGGTGTGATTAAGACTCCTGATCTAACCTGGCTTTTAATGCAGAGGGAGCTGGTCGGATTTCTCACTCACCCAGTAGTGTTTTTGTTATGTGACTGTTATGTCACACACTGTCTAGGCGCTGCACTTACCCACTTCCAAGTTCCGCCTTTTGCGTTCCGTCAACATTACGTTATAAATTAAATATTTAGAAAATCGATTCAGAATCGTCCACGTCTGCATCGCGATGCATCTAAGAATCAATTTTTTCCCGCACCCCTACTACACAATCTGACTTACTGTGAACCATGACAATGAGCAAAATGTCCCTGTGTAGCTTTGTGGTCAGCCATTTTAGACAGGTTTTATGACAAATTCTTACTCCCCCACAGAATTCAGTTCCTCTTTGTGTGCATGCACATCATGCAAGCATATGGATATTAGATTATATTCACTATTTTCATTGTTTCTGTTTACAAACATACACGGATCATTCTACTGAATTGTTTCAAATTCAATTCAGTTTTAGTCTAAAGTCGATTCAATTCACTTGAATCGACATTAGACTAAAATCCCTTTGCTTTGAGTGACCATATGACTTAATTCTGTTTTTTTTTAAACAAGTGATAGAACATTCAATTCTGTTACTAAAAAAACAGTCATCACTACTAAAACTTCACCAGCTGTTTAATAATGAGAATTGTAGCTAATTTTATTTATTAAAACACAAAAAGTTTTTCTTATTTGCAGAAAATAAATTTCAATGACAATTCTAGTGACAATTCTCAATGTTCTACACTGATTTTTTTAGATTTTGGTGACACATTTACTTTAAAACAATGCGATCTAACTGCTCACCATGTGGCCATGAGGAACAGGGATGAAGTCTCATCTCCTGCTGTAAAATGCAGAGGTGTGGCTAAAATAAAGCTCCACCTATGGACTAAAACTCTTAGAGTTTCAACAGTGATATGAAAACATGGAGAATTATTATTTATGAGTTTTTTATATTTAAAAGTTTTTTATTTAAAAATTAAACTCATGAAAAATCAAAATCTTTCAACTTTAAAGAAATAAAAAAAGATCTAAGTAATGTAAGTAATATTTTCATGAGTTGAAATTTGGGGGTTAGGGTTTGGGACAGCCACCTTCCAACAGAAAAAACCCTATAAATGATGATTTTGTATATATTTAGCTTATTACTATCTCAATTAATGCAATTAATGCAACCTGACATATTTTGAACTTATTGCCTTCTGGCTATCATTAATAAAATGCATCACAGTCTAATAAAAATCTCTCTGTCAAATTAACCAGTGAAGTAATCATGTACACTATATGAATGTATGATGAGAACAGTTTACTTTGGGAAAGAATGTTGATTATTGTATAACAACCACTGTGTCTGAGCATTACCAGTCATTTACAATGTTTTATATCACAGAATTCTGAAGCATTTACAAAAAATACAATGGTTAGGCTGGTTTAACGAACTGAGATTAAGCCTAATCTTAGACTACAGAGAATCTCCAAGGGTGATGCACAATTGGCACTGCAGTTTAGTCCTAGACTAGGCTTATTCCATTTCAAACCAGCCCAAAGACTATCAAAGCAATGTTTGCTGAAAATTGTCTCCATGTCTTGGATTAGAACTAACAACTCCAAACAAACATTTGATGAACAGGTTTTAGCTGGAAAACGTCTTCTAACGCTGAACTGCTTTCAGACTGAAATGACTTTCGGCAACATTTTCGAGATTTTCATTCTCATTCAAAAATGTACACTTCAAATTCCCTTTATGCTTATTTGGTATGCAAATGAAAAGCAAGTTTCTTTCAGTGAATCCAAGCAATGCCATGCAATTATTTCGCATGAAGACCTTTAGTTTGTGCATGCTTTCACATTGTAAGCTTAGACATTCGCCAGCTTCTTTTTTCAATTCCGTTCCACCCTAAATGTTGCAGCAGCTACATTCCACATTCATCTATCAGGCACTAAATTGTAATTGCAGCACCATTTAGGGTGGAACAGTTAATTTGAATAAGAAGCTAACAAATTGATTGAATTGAATGCCTTGTTAGACATTCATATCCTAAACCACTTTTGCTCAATTTTGCACAATTCTTCAAGTTGTGCTCTCCTTATGTGTACTGGCAATCAGTATTAAGTCACCAAGTGTGATGCATGGTTACGTATGATGTAGGCTTGAAAAGAAAAGGCGAGCACAAGTAATGTTACATTGAATAGGCACTTACCTTTTCTGACAAAAAAGCCTTAAATATGACAAACACATGAATGAAAACTAAAGAATAACTTTATTAGAACTAAACAGAATAAATATAAAATTCAGTATAAAATTAAAAAATAACTATTGTTAAATATATTGTTCTTAATTCACATATTTGGCTGGTACATTGGATCAGTGTTTTTTACTAACTGTTACAGAAATAATCTGCTCTAAAGAAAAGTTACAGTTGAACAGATTATCAACTTTTGTTATACACTTTTTAGGTAGCTGTGAGTTTGGCTGCATCAGACTTCAACTTCCTGAGATAAACTATTAAAAGCACTTTTCTATATATAGAAAGTATAGACAAAAACATAAACACTGGCTTACTAATAGGCGTGAGGCGTGAGTGAAAACCTTAAATCTTTTTTAATGGAACATTCATTTAATTGCTACTTTTTGCTGTACCTTAACCACTGAGCAGTTCATCTCAAACTGCCACTTTGGCTTTGCACTGTCCACCGTCACCTGGCTCTCTAGAACCATAATTCCTCTGTGCGCTGAGCATCAGCATTGCTGAAGTACAGACATTAATGGGTTTGGCTGGCTGCTACCTCAACTGTTAACACCTTTAAATGCTTTCGGAGGAAGGCAGTTCAGCCTGGAGCACAGTACATTCCAAACAAGGGAAATGGCCTTTGCCTCACAATTACGCACTGGGACCAAAGCAAGGGAATTTCATCCTCACTCTGATGTTCCAAAACAGGTTCCATTAAACTGGACCCGGCTAATGTGTTTCATTTGTCCATTTTGGCCTCATACATAGTGTTTGTCTTTGGAGCGCTTCTCTTTATGGTCACTTTTACTGTGTTTTTTGGAGTGGATGTGTTTTTTTGAGTGATGCCTGTGATTGCTGCTTCTAACACAGTTTGAGTAGCTAGGGAGCATGTCCTCAGCTAGGTGGTGCTCCCTCTCAGTCCAGTCAAGGCTAGACTGGGTATAGCTGTTGTTGTCTACAGGGAGAAAAAGATGTCCCTTCTCCTCGTATGAAAGAGCATGAACCTCTGCCAGCTCCAGTTTCGTAGGCGTCCTCTCTATCTGCCTCCCAAGCTCCTGGTACTGGTATCTCTTCTCCAGACTATGGGTGATGGCCAGCTTAAGGAGATGGAACAACTCCAGAATGTTCAGGAATGCAGAAATTGCAGCAATGACCTGAGTGTAGATAGTAAAAATGGTCTTCTCGGTTGGCCGCGAGACAAAGCAGTCCACAGTGTGAGGGCAGGGATCACGCTTGCATTCATACTTTGCTGCAACTACAAATCCGTAGAGGAACCAAAGACCAACAATGAAGCCCACCTCGAGCACAACCTTTAGTACTATGCTAGCAGCGTAGGCACCTAACAGCTTCCCTTTGAGCTTAGGAGGCTCTCCCTCTTTCTTCCTCTTTTCCAGCTGCTTCTCATCTTCCTCATCCTCTTCCTTTATTACATCTAGCTTACTCTGATTGGCTTTTCCATTCCTCTGCCGCCCACGCTGCTCCTCTACGATCTCCTCTGCTGGCTTCTGGTCCTCACGTGTCTTCAGAGCCACATAGCCAAAATAAAAAATGGTGGGCGTGGAGACGAAGATGACCTGCAGAACAAAGTAGCGGAAGTGGGAGACAGGAAAAGCCTTATCATAACAGACGGCCTCGCAACCGGGCTGTTTGGTGTTGCAGACAAAGTCGGACTGCTCGTCATCCCAGGCGGACTCGGCTGCCGTGCCCAAGACAAGCAAGCGAAAGAGAAAGAGTACAGTGAGCCACACACGTCCCACGTTCGTCGAGTACTCCTGACCTTCCACTAGCAGGTGCTCCAGAAAACCCCAGTCAGCTCTGGACATCCTCTGCACCTGCAAACACACACACACATATGAACAAGGATATTTTTAGTAGGGCTGCATGATATGGACAAAATATCATATTGTGATTGTATTGCTACATATGCCTTGCAATATAGCGCTGTCATTATCAATTAAATAATCAAATGATTGTTTTTTAAAGGCCAAACAATAAAAATGTCTTAAAATCTCATCCATGCCTGTATGAGTCCAGTATAAAAATGATGTGCAGATTTTTGGATGCTGCTTTACATCAGAGCTGCTTCTTTGTTTGTCTTGCATTGTTCGTGGCATGTTTGTGATTTGTTTTTAATGACCTCACTGGCTCAGGAGATTTTTTTCCACCGTCAACTGAGAACTGGCTGAGAGATTTTTCATTGTGGAGTTTGACAAGTCGGATCACATTTCATCACAGTAGCGGAGTCTGGCTAGGACACAAGCCGAGGACTTTGCACCAAGATAGCGGAGTTTGATTAAGCTTCGAAGTGGGGAATTTGCACTATGACAGTGGAGTGTGACTAGGTTACAAGTCGAGGACTTTGCGACGCAATAGTGGAGCTTGAGTAGGCCATGAGCCAAGAACTTGAAAGCAGAGTTTGACTAGGCCATGAGTTGGGGACGCCTCTATATTACAACACAGTTTGACTAGGCCGCTAGCCACGGGTTTTACATCTTGATAGCGGAGTCTGACTAGGCCGCTAGCCACGGGTTTTACATCTTGATAGCGGAGTCTGACTAGGCCGCTAGCCACGGGTTTTACATCTTGATAGCGGAGTCTGACTAGGTCACTAGCCAGGGGTTTTACATCTTGATAGCGGAGTCTGACTAGGCCGCTAGCCAAGGGTTTTACATCTTGATAGCGGAGTCTGACTAGGCCGCTAGCCAAGGGTTTTACATCTTGATAGCGGAGTCTGACTAGGCCGCTAGCCAAGGGTTTTACATCTTGATAGCGGAGTCTGACTAGGCCGCTAGCCAAGAGTTTTACATCTTGATAGCGGAGTCTGACTAGGTCACTAGCCAAGGCTTTTGCATCTTGATAGCAGAGTCTGACTAGGTCACTAGCCAAGGCTTTTGCATCTTGATAGCAGAGTCTGACTAGGTCACTAGCCAAGGCTTTTGCATCTTGATAGCAGAGTCTGACTAGGCCATGAGCCAAGGCTTTTGCATCTTGATAGCAGAGTCTGACTAGGTCACTAGCCAAGGCTTTTGCATCTTGATAGCAGAGTCTGACTAGGTCACTAGCCAAGGCTTTTGCATCTTGATAGCAGAGTCTGACTAGGCCATGAGCCAAGGGTTTTACATCTTGATAGCAGAGTCTGACTAGGCCATGAGCCAAGGCTTTTGCATCTTGATAGCAGAGTCTGACTAGGTCACTAGCCAAGGCTTTTGCATCTTGATAGCAGAGTCTGACTAGGTCACTAGCCAAGGCTTTTGCATCTTGATAGCAGAGTCTGACTAGGCCACCAGCCAAGGGTTTTACATCTTGATAGCAGAGTCTGACTAGTTTAGACCACTAGCCGAGGGCTTTGCATTGTGATAGGAGAGTTTGACAAGGCCACTAACCGAGGGCTTTGCATTGTGATAGTGGTGATAGACTAGGCCACTAGCCAAGGATTTTACATCTTGATAGCGGAGTTTGACTAGGCCCCTAGCTGGAGACTTGCGTCATGATTGCGGAGTTTGACTAGGCCACTAGCTGAGGGCTTTGCACTGTAATAGCCCATGGCTGTGCATATTATTATATAGCAGACTTTATTGCAGAAACTTTTACTTTACAATGACCCCCACTACCACTGAAACAATAACACTAATTTCTACTAATGCTTCTATAGGAATTTCATTGTTAAGTTCAATGCTAACAGAGGTATATATTCACTTCCCACTGCATTTAATAGGCTTATTTAAGCCCACTTGCAGCATTTGAACTTTGTAACATACACTTAAGTTGCATATTATTTACTTTGTACACTGTAGTATTACAGTTTTACAACCTTTGATAATCTTGGATATTATCAGATGAGCGTGTTAGCTGTCTGCTCAACTATTCAGCCTAGACCCAGTTAAACAAAACCTTTTACTTCATAAGGAATTTGTAGCAGAAAGCCTTTAATTTTATTTCATCTACATTTTATTTGCAATTCACTTTTTTTAAATCAAACATCCAGTTTGAAGTGAGTAATTTTGACTGCCCTATTACACAATAAAACACATCCATATAACAAAGTTAACAGTCTGCATTAGTTTGACAAAAAAATGATTTAGCAATTTATGGTCATGTAAATCCTTTGAAACATATTTATGATTCTCACAGAAACACTCAATAAACATTAACATGTGCAATGACACATGACACATGAGTTAATGGGCTCATTTGCATGTTGCAAAAGCCAACATCCACAGTGACATTAATGGCATTTTTCACGAATAGAGCTCAATTTATGTCCCATTACCTTGTTGTTGTTGTTGTTGTTTATTATTTCTGTGCAAAGTAAAGAGATCCATACTTAAAATAAAATCACTAAAATTAGCATTTAATGATCACAAAAACACATAAAATGTCTGTATTTACTTTTAAAATAGTAACTTTGGGCTGTTCTACCTCACTGTTATTAAACTTCTCTATGACGTATATTCATTAAATCTTCCAGTGACATCATCATTACAATATTATTTAATTAGCATGCAATTTAATGTGAAAAGAATTGTTTTCCTTATTAATTTATTTAACAGAACAAGTCATTTTAACCCGTGTTCCATATTTTATGTACAACCCTGTTGCCCAAACCTGCTCCCCCTTGTACAAAAATGGAACATTCCATTTATTATGATATATACAGGAATTTGCATCATCTTGTTGTTTTCTGCAGACTGACTATCAGACTATCAGTGAGTATTCTTATTCTATTTTCTTAATTTGCACACAAAAAATTGATTCAGCTGTGTGAGTAAAGCTTAACTGTTCAACCGTGTTACCAAAATTATTGTTAGAAAAAAGAATATATATTTATATTTTTTGAAATGTATGTAAACAATATGACTATTCATATATTAGCATGCAACATACACTGCTGATATCTGCTTATTTTAAGCTAAATTCAAACATGTACTTGCAACCCTGTAACTTAATTTATATATATATATATATAAATGAAAATGTCCTGAAACAAATATTTTAATGACAAAAAATTGATTAAAACAATTTTTCCTTCTGCTCTATGTTCCATATATTCATTAATAACACAGCCTGATGAGGAATATGATCTATCTGTTCAACGCTGTTACTCGCTTCAACATTGTCACTAAGTTTCAACCATGTTATTCAGTCATTTGAAAATAGTCAGAAAACATTTAATTTAGTATGTTATGTTACCAGAAGTGTCAGTTTGGTAATGAGAATCATTAGTTCAAATTACTAATGCAAGAAAAATGGCACTATGTGTGAACTGAATTCATTATTTTCTAGCAAGTTATTTATTTATTTATTTATTTCTGAAAATAATTAATTCAAACAGCTCATATAGTTTCTGATTTGACAGCCTGAGGTGGGAAAATTACAAAATTACATTTTCTGAAGGTTAGTCATTTACTTTAATTAATACTTTGTCAAAAATGCCAAATAAAAAAGTAAAAATTTTGAAGAGAATTCTAGAACTCTATTCACGGAAAGTGCCAGTGATTAACAAACAATATGACTCTTACATATAATAATACAACAAATACATCACTGAACTTCCACAGAAGCATTTTGATCATGCTATGTATAACAACTTTGAAGACCCAGTCTAATAAATCTAGTCTGCATTTGAGGTGATTCTCAATCCTTCATAGTCAACCCACTTTTAGGGTAAAACTTGTTGTGTCATCAGTAGAGATTCCTCTACTATCTAAACATAATTGATGTCTAGAATTCTACCTCTGCTGTTTGCTAATTTGATGTTTGATATTTATGGGACAATCATGGGACAGCTTCAAAGCCACAAACTGAAAATACGGGGGAGCCCTTTATTAACAGACACAGGAAATGGGAATCGACAATCACGTCAGCACAAACAGACAGCTGGCAAATGTCAAGCCTGTGACACTTTGACATTTCGGTGAAACCACTTAAATAAACAGTGCACTTTCTCATTTCTATAGCCCACAAAATATGTGTACAACAGCTGTGGCTGAATCACACAGACACTTGCTACATCAAGAGAAAGAGTCTTTATGATGAAGTTCTGTCACAGCTCAGACTCTCCAGATGTCTAGATATGATTCCCAAGCTGGTTATTTGTTTGTTTGTTTTTTCAACCGTGTCACAGTAGGTATCAGCTTTATGAGCCTTGTCCCCCTAATTCTTCAGCAACATAAACCTGCAGCGTGATATTTTCCACAAATAACTGAAGTTTAGATCCCAAAGAAACAAACAATGATGAGCTTTTATTGATCAAACTGCATGATCACTGCACATTAGAGGTTCAGTTCACTGTTTTTACTAAATTTGGGCCGCTGTGGTGTGGTTCTTATGAGTTGACTCAATTAGACAGAAATAAACTAGTTTTATTAGCCTAATACTGGCTGATCTAACAGCTATTCATTGTAGACATGTATAAATGCTAGTAGCATCTCCAGCACTGTAAGTGCTTCTCTGTTAGAGCAGTCCCTGGATGACAAACTGCTCTACATGTGGGTAAACATCCTCTGCTCTGAGTTCTTACCCCTCTGCCCTTATCTGGATGGAGAGGGCTTTTTTTTCCTCTTTGTGGCCGGAGGGAGTATGTTGTTTACGCAAACCACACGCAACTCTGAAGCAAACTACATCAGTCATCTACTCATCAGCGTGTGACTGCAACTTTTTTCGCCAGTAAAAACATTATATAACATTCGAATATACACAAACAAACATGAATACAGTAAAACATAACAAGGTTTTCTTTTTTATAAAAGTTATTAATATCTCAGTTAGAAGAATACAGATGGAAAACAGGTTTGATTCCTGATTTCTGCACTTCAGTTACAAGTTCAGTAGCAAGAATTTGTTAAATTAGATCAACAGCACATCTGGTTTAATTTAATAAAGGATTGATTAGATAAACTATGTATTGGATGGTAGCTGTAAATAATGTACTTCCTCAGTACCACAGTACTTATTTGTATTTATTCTATTACACACACACACATATATATATATATATATATATATATATATATATATATATATATATATATATAGTTTTCGGTTTACATTTTACTCACAATGTAATGGGTTCACAATTCACTATTCTCACAATATATATATATATATATATATATATATATATATATATATACATATATATATATCTTGATTGACTGAGTGGCTGAGAGAACACAGAAATGTCCAAATAGGGGAACAACACGAGATGCAGTGAACAGTGCCAGTTACAACCATTCAGCTTTTTCCTGTCATACAGTGATATAAGTTACCCTCACTGTATAAATCTTGTGTGATACTCTCAGTGTGTATAAAGTGTGATAGCATTTGCTAGTAATGCTACATTCACTTGGTATTCCACTCTTGTACAGCACGGTCTGATCACATCTGCCTGTGTAGATACAGCACTGTCCACTACAGTCCACTAAACACGAGCCGACACAGATGAACTCTTACCTGTCACTCTCTGGATGTGTTTGTGTTGTCGTGATCTGTCTGTGCAACAGTTTCTCCTTCCGAGTCTCTCCCCCGAGCTGAATGGCGGTTATGAGGAAAAGTGAGGGAGAGGAACTTTCCCATGCTTTTCCAGCGGCCCTCCCACAGGAACCTGGTCCAGGAAAAGGGCCGGACGGATTCAAAAATAGTTTTTCCAAGTTATGCCTTTGGATAGGCTCGTTTCGTCATGGAGAGTTTTAACCCTAAGGATCAGGCCTTTATCAGCTCCATCACCACTCCAGTCTGCCGCTGAAACAACATCATTGTCTCATTAAGCTGTTATCAACGTCTTTTCCAAACCAAAGACACTTCATTAACAAGCTTTTATTGACAAACGTTTCTGAGGTAAATAAAGCGAATCAGTCGACACCGATGTATGATGTATGTGTTACAGAGTCTCGCCACCAGGTGTCACTCGCGGGTTGTGGAGCTCTCCATACCAGCACAAGATAGAGACAGGTTGAGACAGATACACATCTACGGGTAGAGATGCGCTCAGTGCCGGAGTGTTTATTAAATACAAAAGGCAAGATAAAATCGAAAAAGATGAGAAGGATGATTAGGGAATGTGTTAAGAGCTATAAACCAAATCAACAACTGGGGCACAAGGCCTCAGGCTTCAAGAGTGAAATCAGGCTGATTAGGCTGTAAGAGCATTTCTGTCAATAATGGTCATTTACCAGATCATGCTGGTCGAAGCTGTTTTTGTTTTTCTTTTTCTTTTTACAGCAAGGAGGATAAAACTTAACAACAAACACAAACACACATATACACACATGCACTGAATTGATATTATAATATTGATATACAATGAAATGTCTTACATTTCTAAAACCAACAGTAACATGTTGCTAAGCATTAGCAAACAGCAGGTGGAGCTTAAAGGGAGGGCTTAAATAATAACCAGAGATGGTTGGATCTTCGTTATATACATATATAAACATATGAATAAATGTCAAAGATAATTTTTAAATTACAGGTAATTTTTGTTAATCCTAGCATTCGATCCATATATATTAGTGTTCACTCTATGATCAACATTCGAGTTAATTAAGACTTTGCTGTATTAGATTAGTTGATGTAATACTTTTCTTAACATTTTTAATTTTGCACATTTGTATGCAAGCTAGTTTATTGGCCTCCATGAACATTTTTCATGTTTCGGCCACTGCTTTTTTAGTGACTCAGCACAGAAAGCTGTTCCAGGGCCATTTTTTACCTTTAAGCCATTCCAATCAGTCCTGGACCATAAAAGCTGTCAATATGTTGACTGAGTGGAAGAATAAAGAATCTGTTTAATCTGGGAACTGCAGAAAGAAAGCATTTTTGAAAGTCTGGTCAGTTGACAGTGAATCATTCTGATAAATGGGCCTGTCTCTGTAGGTGTTCATTATAAAAGTGTTTTAAATTCAGGGAGGCAAGGAATGACATTGTTGTTCTTACATGGAAGTGAAATTTCCTAGTTGGATAATTTGATGTCACTGCCAGTTCACCTCTGTAAATTGTGACCAAAATGTAAGTGTTTTAGGGTGGAGTAGAACGGATATGTTGCAGATGCAGAAGTTAAGACTTCATCAGAGTGCTAGAGGTCACTATTTTGTTCCCAATAACTGTTAAAAGTCCTCATGTGCTCTCCAGACACAAGGCTGCTCCTGGGAGAGACAGGCCATGATCGCGCACTAAATTCAGCACTGACCTTTAACTGTGATTGAACAAAACCCTCCGAGGGGTTTCATTTTTTTCATTCTCAGTTATGAAACTGACAAAATGATTTTTTGTGATGTGTGGGCTCTTTGTGGTGAGTGGACACAAGTGTTTAATGATCTGAGACAAAATTTGACAGTATAAGAATATATGATTTATTTAGTAATATGGACTGTTATTATATATAAGGGAGAACGGAACATAAACTGACACGGGCTAAAAAGAAACATGGATATTTGATGTAGTTAAAAAGGTTCAAGCAGAATGTGCTTTCAGTTTTGTTCTCATATTCTCACAGAAACATCAGCTGTCAATTCCTATCTAAAAAATCACAATGAATTTCATGTGAATAAAACATGTGGTTTATTAGTTTTACCTGGAGAGGTGCTATAATTACCTAGGGAGTGATTACAGATGAGATCCATAATTTTAACCCATGAGTCTGTCATGTCTATAGTTTTTACATGTCCACTAGTCAAGTAAGCAATAATTCCAGAGACAATTTCCTTCTATAATTCCTAAATTCAGAGCTCCCTCAGTAATACTAGCCATGTTTGAATCAACTTAACAGTCATATAATTATGGTAATTTACATGTTTTTCTTTTTTGTGACCTGAAGACAAGCTAATAGCTAAAATGGAGCTTGATTTGACCCAAATCCTTAATCCTCAATGTCATGACCAGACTACTAAAGTCCACAACAATTCATATTCCCTCCCGTACGCTACAATTATGCACTGTCATTTTGAATGGACGTCACCTCACACTGCAATGAGATGTAAAGTCTTATGTACTGAGTTTAGTTTGGAGCCATATCTACCATTAAGCCACACTACATTTTGTTATTTGTAAGTGTGGCGCCTGTTGCATAATACTGATGTAACATAGATGTGATGATATTTTGATCTGGGCTATTTTGGGGTAATTTGGAGAAATTACACAGATCCTTTATCCCATATAAATCAGCCAGTTAAATCATACACATTACATTACAAGACCTCCTCTGGAAAAACTAATCCAGCTCGAATAGGGCTCACGTGACAGTTTTTACTCCTATGTTCTTTTAATATCCCTGTAATGTAGCACCATTTTGAAACACATAAATAACTCACAGTGAGAACTAGCCAGGCTAAAGTACAGCTTCCAAATGAACTGAATTCCCAAACTCAACAACAAGAGAAGTCCATATCTCCCATATAAGTTCAAAATAGTCAGAATTTTGGAAATTTTTATGCACATTTCGTATTTAGGTTGGAGAGCATGTCTGGTTCAAACAATACAGTATTGTACTGAAAAAAAAAGGTTTTGTATCAACTTACCTGATTTTTTTAGTGACTGTTTCTAGCCACCTGTTTATTATTATTTTTTTTAATTTTGCTAAAATCCTTTTAAAATTATTAAGCAAAATTCAGACTGTGTTAGGTTGTGCTCCATTCTCCCCTACCATATAAAACACATCTGTAATTGGATGATCTGGGAGGTGAAGTGGAACAGGGGCCAGAAAGGTAAGTGGGGGATGATGCCATGTGCACAGAGCTGCAGTGATCATCATACTTTATCTGTCCCCTGTGACTCACACCATTAACACCAATAGACTCTATTGGCTATGAGACATCTGCTGGGAAAACTATTCCCCCTCTTACATCTTACATCTGACCACTGACCTTTATTTACACCACAGTTAAGAGCCTAAGATCCAAAGAGACCATTCCTTCCTGTCTTGCTGTACGAGTCCTTGAAACCAGCAAGATACACCAAGTGCTTTTGTCCACCTAATTGAGAACGGGGATTAGTACTGTCATTGAATTTTTCCTTTACGTACATTGTTCTTAGATAGCCTGCAAAGGCATCAGCCTAATTTTTAACATATACACACAATAACTGTACCTGTCTTTATAGTACGTCGTTTAATTAACTATGTTTGCAAGATGTTGGAGGAGTGCACATCACTCATGTACAGTGGGGTAACTGAGCTAGAGATATGGTAACCATGGCTCCTTACATTTCCTCACAGTGATGCATGTGAGGCATGAGTCAAGGGTGGATGCATTTGGAGAGAACCTTTATTATGACTTTCTAGGAATTATAGTTGAAATGGGCAGAATGGGTAAGAAGACAGACAAACAGGGCTATCACACGTAAACCCATTACCACAACACACAAATACAGTAACTGTAAAACAGCGTAATATCTAGCTAACAAGACTTTGCAAAACTATAGGGAGGATATACAGTACAATGCAAAAGTCTTAGGTATCTGAGAAAATGGTATGTAAGACTATTTATCTGAGCAGTAAACATTTAATTCTCTAAAAATGCTATCATTAGAATAAATACAAATAAACAAATAAGTTATGTGTCAGTGTGTTAGCTTAACCATTTCCAAACCTCTCCTCAAAGGAGCCCAGTATTAAGAGTTACTATGCAACCTAGCTTGACAAATCAGTACTTCATTAAATCAGGTGTGCTGCTGATGGATTTTAGGAAATCCATACAAAAATCAGCAACCAAACCTGTGTCATTTGAACCAAGATATTAAAGGCTTTACTGAAAACATCAAAATCTTGTTACTTTTTAACATGCTTATCTTCATTTGTGTATATTCTGATGTCATATGGTGTTTTCATTGGTAAAAACACCAGGAAAATAATAGTTTTAAACAATTTGGTATAGTACTTTATGCATTTTTTAATGAGTGAAAGTATGAACAAGAAATAGGTGCAGGTGATAATGGGCAAAGCAGAGCCATGAGCTGGTCTCAACCAATCAGGAATAGAGGAACATTCTCCTACAGGATAAGGAGACTGTGACATTGGCAGTCATCATGAAAATCCTTCAGTGTGTTAGTAAGACTTTATTTTGCTGTTTTTCTGTTGCAAGTAGTGCAGAAATATAACATTTCTGTTAACAGTGCTGTTTCATTCAGCAGCCATATCTCAAAGTCAAGGCTGCAGCCTGAAGGACTCAACTGGTGTATGTTTGGAGACCTTCAGCCACCCTCACTCTTTCACACACTGCACAAAACCATTCAAAAATGCTGGAAACAGCTGCAAGCGTCAAGATGCCGCAACATCAGAGTTTGCAAAGAGATGTACAGTTTTATTTCATGTTTTTAAACTTGAAATTTAAACATATCAGTAAACCTGAGTGAGCACTGAAAAAAAACTTGTATTAGGAATTGTTGCTATCTGGAATGGTCATCATTCCTAGAAGGGGCATCATGGAAATTCTCAAAGAATGGCTGAATGATAAGTTCATTAAGAAAGGTTTACCATATCATACAATCGTTTACATTTATATTCACATTTATGAAATATTTGGTATTTTCTGTGCACGGGTCACATATTCAGCAGGAAGTTGCATCATTCCATCTTCCTGAAGATTATAGAAAGAAAAAACTTTTGTTTTTTTTTCCTTATTTTTAGTGATTGTGACATTGACTTAAGAGGTCACTTTGAAAGTTAGCCTATTACCCAAATTTATTGTAAATTATTGATTGAAACATAAATTTTAAAGAAATCTATAGAATGTCCTCATACTATTGATATGGATGCTACTT